TCTTCTGTTTTCTCTTGCTAGTTGAGGTAGGCTGTCTTATCTTGCAAGTTGAGGTATGCTGTCTTCTCTTGCCAGTTGAGGTAGGGGATCTTTACTTGCCAGTTGAGGTTGGCCATCCTTTTTTGCCAGTTGAGGTAGATACAATATTTTCTTGCCAGTTAGGGTAGACTGTAATTTAGTCTTTTTAATTGACTAAAGTCTAAAAAGCACAAAATTATAATCAGATTTGAAAAATAGTCTCATTAGTTATTTATTCATGTAAGTGTGTAAATTGTGAAGCATTCTAGTGTTGGAAAAACATTTTAATCTCCATAATATGCCCTAAATATTTTAATCTTTACAGATATAAAGTAGCCTGATGTTTATCCTTCCATTCATAAAGTTTACTTGGGTCTGGTTTACAGAGAATTGGGTTAATTTATGACACAAAAAGTTTTAGTAAGTTTGCCATTAACCAGTCTGTTTAAACAGTTTTATAAATCTCATACCCTACTTAATTTTGAAAATGGACTGGTTCTGTTTTGAATTTGAAGCAGTCCATTGTTACTTAAAGGGATAGCTTATAAATGAAAGGTGGGTGGTTGTACCCAGATGCTGGGTTGTGCCTGAAATAATGCGCAAAGGTATAAGCTTCTGAGGTTTTCTCCACCAGTAAAGCTGGAAAAACACCCTATGACCTTAAATACTGTGTTGGTGTAGCTTAAAAACCTACAAAACAAACAGACATTTACTAAACTTCAGCATAAAGTATATAATTAAGATTATATTGTGTATACTTGTAATGTTTGTGCATTTTACTATCTAACATCTTGAAATTCAGAATAATTTTCACAGATCGTATTGCTTTTAAAGATCTTATTAAACATAAGTAAATATGAATTTGGAAGACCAGATAATCTAGGGCCACAAACATAATTATGACACAAAGGTCACAACCATAATTAAGCCACTAATGACATAAGGGTCACAACCATATAACACTAGGGCCACAACCATATGACATAAGGGCTACAACCATATAACACTCAAAGGGCCACAACCATATGACACTCAAAGGGCCACAACCATATGACACTAAGGCCACAACCATATGACATACGGGCCACAACCATATAACATAGGGCTACAACCATATAACACTGGGGATACAACCATATAACATTATAGGGCCACAAACATATAACATAAGGGACACAACCATATAATATTATAGGGCAACAACCATATAACATAAGGGCCACAACCATATAACACTAGGGCCACAACCATGTAACACTAGGGCCACAACCATATGACATAAAGGCCACAACCATATGAGTTAATACTGACCTATGCCAACAATTGGCTCTGGAGGTCTGAAGATAGCCCCACTATGTGAATAGTTTGTTTTTGCATTGATACAGAACACCTTAGATTGATATATATCTTACCCTATGGCGGAAACTGTGGTTCTTTGTTTAGTGGTTTTGTGGTATTTTATATGATAGAACACAATGCATATCATTGGACATTGTTATATTTGTAACATTTATTGTGCATTTATATTATATAGTTCAAAATTGTATCAATCTACAATGATAAATTGTCAGGAATACAAAGTTTTTATACTCATTCATACAAGTTTTGCTTGTTATATTGGTATTGCTTTCTTTCATATTGCATATTCAGTCGTTTTGTCACATGTTTTTCTATTCTGACATAATTATAGTGGTGCCTGTGGCCAAGTGGCTTCAAAACACTTGCCCCTCACCTCTGGGTTTGAATTTTGACAGAGACGATAGATTTTTCCATATGAGGAAGCTTATAATCCAGCTTACTTACGGAACGTTGTTGGTTTTACTCATGTGTCTGGAATAATGCACAGAAAGGCACCTGAGGGCTTTCTCCACCAGTAAAGCTGGAAAGTCACCATATGACCTATACTGTGTTGATGCGATGTAAAATCCAACCAAGAAAAAAACCCACAAAAAATCAAAGTAGCTGTTTGGTGTGAAGTGTAACTTAATTCCACAGACCCTTACCATTAAATGAGAGCAGCTGATTCATGTGAGCAGTTTAAATTGCTTTTCCTTGTAGGGCGACCAATGATTTTACCATTGTCGAAGGACTTTGGGGACGTACCTGCATTTGTTTAGATTTTTAGCTCGACTATTCGATAAGAATAAGTAGAGCTATTGTAGTCACCCGAGCGTCGGCGTCGGCGTTTGTGTCCATGTCGGCATAACCACTTATGTTAAAGTTTTTGTAATACCTCAAATATTTTCAAAGTCCATTGACATATGGCTTTGAAACTTTGCACACTTGTTCACCATCATGACCCCAACCTGTAGACAGGAGGAGGTAACTGTATCAAGCATTTTGACAGAATTATGCCCTTTTTTCGACTTAGAATTTACATTAAAGTTTTTGTAATACCTCAAATATTTTCAAAGTCCATTGACATAATTTATGGCTTTGAAACAAGATGAAATTTTATACCCTTTGAGAGCTTAATAGGACTTTTTCCAAGGCCTATAACTGTAACATGGATTTAAAGAAAAAAAATTTCCCTTTTGTTAACTTAGTAAATTTTACATTATCAAGGCATTCTTACTATCAAGCACTAAGAATAGTCGAGCGTTGCTGTCCTACCGACAGCTCTTGTTGTCATTATTATGTTGTATCGATACTTTGTAAGTCAGGTAGTATACACAATATACACTGATAAATATGATAGTGTGGTACAAAACAACCTGCATAGATTAATTAAGTGAAACATATAATGAGTAAGTCATCAATGATTGACAGATTAATTGACCAGATAAACCATTAACCTGGAGAATTTGTGTAATGAATTTGTCCTACTTTACAGTTGGAACAGTCCATTCAGTTTAAGGAATTTGAAGATCAAAGTACAGAAAATTGTGCTGTCTACAGTATAGGGCCTGCAGGTTGGTGCATCCTAGCTTGGCTCTGTGCTGGTAGCAAATTTCCATCAGGTTAAATATTACTTTATAATGATATCTAACATGGTGACCTATTTGATTTGAATTCAATAAATTCACTGATTGATACCAAAGATTATCATTCATGTGAACTCTCCCACTTTTACTGGGAGACTACCACATTCTGCAGCCATATTTTTAAAGATTTTTCTTAAAATAAGGGGTATTTTCACAAATCTCCCTCTTTTTGATATCAGAACTTTCTTCTTTTTTTATTGCAAATTCTAAAATCTCCCTCTTTTTGAAGAAAAATCTCCCACTTGAACATCGAAAAAAGTTCACATGTATGGATTATATACAATAATTTTTATATTTTAAGATATTAAGTTAAGCCACTTTCGAATTTTATCCATATAAAGTTTTTGTTAGAGATATATGATAATATTTGGTATTAACTTGATCTTTACAAACAAGTTTGGTAAATGACAGAATTGACACCTGTCATATTAAAGGTGATAATTGATATCATGTAAACAATAGTTATCAATTAGGGTAAAATATTTGGCATAGCTTTGATTAGGAAAATTGTTTTACATAGGTTAGATCATTATCTTCAGATATTACAAAATAAGACTGAAATTTTACTTTTAATAATGACTCACAAATGTACAAAGTAATGAATAATATAGCTTTAAATAGCTTTAATAACCTGTTAATGTCATTTTAACTTGAAAAAAAAGACTTTAATCTATACATGGAAGTTATTTAAATAATGCACCACTTGAGAATTGAACCAATTGCTTTCTTTAATGGAGGTTTACAGTACATTCATGTATAATTCTTGAAGGTGAAGAATGTATTAATTTCATCATGCAGCACACATGCTAAGAAGGGTAAGGGGATGTGGCGGGGAGGGGGTAAAGAGGAAGGGAAAATAAGCTTAGGTTTCGTTTATTGTTTGTGTCCATTCGGTTTGATGCTATAAAATGGCTTAGGATATGATTCTAACTGTCTCTACAGGGCATGAAAAATCCCATGACTTTCAACAAGGCTTGAAAATCCCATGACTTTCCACAGGGCATAAAAAACCCCATGACTTTCCATAGGGCATGAAAATCCCATGACTGACTAAAGGGCACGAAAATCCCATGACTCTCCACAGGGCATAGACGTCCTGTGTGTCTCCTCAGGGCATGAAAATCCTGTTACTACACAGGGCATAAAAATACCATGACTCTCCTTAGGGCATGGAAATCTTGTGACTTTTCACAGGGCATGAAAATCCTGTGACTCTCCACAGGGCATGAAAATCGCATGATTCCACAGGGCATGAAAATCCTGTGACTCCACAGGGCATGAAAATCCTGTGACTACACTGGGCAGAAAATACCATGACTCTCCACAGGGCATGAAAATCTTGTGACTCTCTATAGGGCATGAAAATCTTGTGACTTTCCACAGGGCATGAAAATTCTGTGACTCTCCACAGGGCATGAAAATCCTGTGACTACACAGGGCATGAATATACCATGGCTCTCCACACAGCATGGAAATCTTGTGACTTTCCACAGGGCATGAAAATCCCGTGACTCTCGACAGGGCATGAAAATCACATGACTCTCTGCAGGGCATGAAAATCCGGTGACTATCCACAGGGCTTGAAAATCCTGTGACTCCACAGGGCATGAAAATCCCATGACTCTCTGCAGGGCATGAAAATCCTGTGACTCTCCACAGGGCATGAAAATCGCCTGACTCTCCACAGGGCAAGAAAATCCTGTGACTCTCCACATGAAAATCCTGTGACTTCACTGGCATGAAAATACCATGACTCTCCACAGGGCATAAAAATCCTGTGACTCCACAGGGCATGAAAATCGGGAGACTTTCCACAGGGCATGAACATCCATTGACTCTCCACAGAGCATGAAAATCCATTTATTGCCCCAGAAAGGGAAAGTGAGCATGATTATAATTGAAAGGTACATATCATATTTTAGAGTAAATACGGTATTTCTTAAAACGTTGGTTATTTGATATTGATATTTCACATCTAATAATGTTTTATTCTTTTTTCTCATTTCAGGTAAATAAAAGTCAACAATGATGCTGTGTATAAAATGATCAATAGAGTGGAATGATATTACAACAACAGCAATGTAGGAACTGAAATAACCCTCATCATAAAGTGACAAAAAGCAACAACAATTATTTTTACAGAAGAAGATGAAAAATTAAGACACTTGGAACATCAGTTTTTTTTATATGAAAAATTTCAAGTCTGAAGAAATAGTAATTACGTGTAACTTTTGATTAAACTGACCTACTTAATTTATGCCATTTTGCAAAGAATAGAAAAGCCCTAACAAACACAAAAAAAAAAACGCAATTTGTTTTATTATGAATAGGATATATAGTTACCTACCGTAGATTAATACGCTAGTGACTGTGTCCTATATGCTTCTATTAAACAGTTTGTTTGACATCAAAAGGAGGTAAAGTTGAAAAGAAAATCTTGCTAGAAGAAAAGTAAAACAGTGATAAATTTGATACAGGGCACACACATGCTGTAAAGAATTTTTGTGATATCATAATCCGAACTACTTAGATGTTGCTATATAATGGTCATCAGGGGGGGTTGAAGTCAAGTATTAAAATAGAAAAATTCTTTTGATAAAGTTTGAAAAAAAATTGACTATTGAAAAAAAATTGAAAATAACACAAAAAAATCAACTCAAAAGCTGATGCATTTATAAACAATGTAGAAAAGATATATTGGAAGGAAATACGGGGGATATCTGACGGAGTGTTAAAGGGCTTGAAGTGTGATATGACGGTTATCTTGTCGGGATATATAATTTGCATATTATGACGTTGGTTGGCTGATAGTGGAATTGATAACAGCATTATAGTACATGTGTTTATACAGCTTCGAGATTGATGAAAATGTTTGGAAGTAATTTTTGAAGAGAAAAAAAAGGGGTACGTCATAACAACAAAAAGGACTGAGACGGACCGTTGTTTACGTCTTCGTTAAAGTATTTCCGTGAAAGTGTGGGAAGGAAATAATTGTCGGAGATATATAAGATTTGTGTTAAGTTTTGTAAAGGCTGTCGATTTATTTATTTTATTTCAAAGTTTTGTGCACATATTTTCTCCATGGAATAATCTGTGCGAGCCGATTGTATAATACTGTTGTATTGTATTGTGTAATATCTTGTGTTTTTTTTTTATGCGCGACTTTGTAAATTATAACCCTATCACTGTAATGCAAGGTGTTCTATGAAAAAAGAAGTGTTGTATTTAAGGGATTTGTGACATTATTTTTATTCAATAAAAAGGTGAGAAAAAAAAAATCAAAATGGCAAGTGTGAAGTTATTATATCATTCAGATGTTGGATAAAAGTGTGCGAGATTCTGAAAAGCCCGCGATATTCACTGTTCTTGGATGTATTAGTATATTTCAAAGGTGTAAAATTTGTGTGAATTAATCAATAAATTGGAAATCAATCAAAAATTTACTTAAAGATACAGTTAAGGATTTACTAATGGAGTTACAGCAAACTCTGTATTCAGGAATTAAGTGGAATTAACATACGAAGTCAGAAGATTTACATACAAACAATGGAAATGGCGGGGAAAGATCCAGGTAACAAAACTTTTTTAATTTACAAATTTTAAATTTTTTTTTATATTTTTAGCTCACCAGAACCGAAGGTTCAGGGTGAGCTATTTAAGTATCAAAGGGGGATGCTCCGTTGTCCATCGTCATGTGTCAACAATTGTCTTCTTCTCTGAAACTGCAGGGCAGATTTACTTTAAATTTGGTCTGTAGCATCCTTGTAACAGTCCACTTGAATTTGCTCATGTCATTTCAATTGGCCCTTTTTAGGGGTCAACAGAGCTAAACATAAAAAAAACCTTAAAACATTTTCGATGGATGATCACCAAACTTTGTCTGTAGCATTCTTGGGTAGTCTTTTATCAAGTTTAGGTTCTTAAATCCAACAAAACCTTCATACAAAACTAAGCATTATGAATTTTTGTTACCATATTTTGATGCATGCATTGACAATGGTGGTAAATTTTTATAAAAAACAATATGTATATATAATATTATTACGGGGAAGTCAAAGACCGGGCCCGCTTTTGCGGGCCCGGGCTTTGGCTTGCCCGGCTATAGACTACACGTGTATATGTAAAAGAAAATCAAATAAAAAACAATTAAAAAATATATAGAATTCTATACCTATCAATGATTTTTTCAGTGTCAGTTCTAGTCGGGCGCCGCCATTTACAATGTAACTCAATGATAATAGGCGGGGTATTCCGATAACGGAACAAATCTCAACTTTTCGGATAAATGATAATCGTCTAGTGTTCCGAGTGAAAACAGAAGCGGTGCATGTAATACCGAATAACACCTTTAAAACGGAAAGAATGAAAGGAATTTTTAACGACTTCCCCGTTCATAGGCCTTGCCTAATTTCATATCATATATTTCTTTGATGTGTGTATCTATGTGATGAAATATAAAAAATATGAATGCCCAGAACTCAAAAATCAAATCGTCTCTAAAACAAGTCTGAGAAATTTTTTTAATGACAAAACTGTTTAAGATTTTTACAACTCTTTAGAATTTAGATAGGGGCCCTAAAAGTGACAGCTGTTTCTCTTTGATCTATAAAATTTAATATATAATGTATATTTGTTTTATTACTGTATTATTGGCATGACGTTTTTCATGGGTGTATAATGTAGTTGTAGGTCTAATTTTACCTCGCATCAACACAGTTTAGGTCATATGGTGACTTTCTAGCTTTATTTAGACTACAGGTGCAAACAGGCACCTGAGTAGAACCACCGATATTCTGTAAGCTAGCTGGTTAGCTTTCTCACATGCTAGAATCGGAAGACACTAGTATTGCTTGAACCTACAGCAGTGAGAGGCAAGTGGTTTGAAATCAACGACCTTAACTTGCAGGCTAGTTTCAGTTATTACTTATTAGGGACTAATTTGGTAGCTTATGTCATGTTTTCAGGAAATTATGAACTAAAATTCCGAATTCATGAACTAACATTCCCAATTGAATCAGTTGTGCAGAAGGTAGTTTTTGTTGTACCTACCTAAGCAAGAAATGGCTTAACATGTAAATTTCCAATACCTATCAAAACTTAGAGTAAGACTAAGGGCACAAAGGACATGTTCCCAAAGTACTGATATGAACTTTGCATCGGTTTGAACTATTAGAAATTTTAACACATTTTCACTTTTCGAGAAAAAAATAAATATGAGTTTTTCCTGAGAAACATTCTGTACATGGGGTTCTTCACTGTGCTATGACTTAACCTTTAACCCTTTACCTACTGATTTTGTGTAATGTATTTGCCCTGCATTGATTTTGGAACAGTCCATTATGAAACCCAATCAAACAAACAAACAAAACTTGAGCAAGTCTTTGTTCCCTTGAGCAAGAAACTTTACACTCATTGCTCAGTACTGGTTGGTTCCAGGAATGGATTCGAAAGTGTGTCCATAAGCTTATAGCTTCCTACACAATCAAACTGACGTAAGTTCTGTATAAACCAGGGACCGTATAAACCATTATCAAAATAAAAAAAATCGAACAATATATCAACAGTATATAGCCTGGTCAGACTGCATACGAGTTCAGGCTGGCCTCAGGCTCTTGACTTGCATGCAAAGGCTTTCAGTTCCAGTACGACAACGGTTAGGGATAACCCTAATCATAACACAACCTCCTTGTCCCGCAGGTTATAGTAAAAATACATATGAAATTCTGAAAAGAATAAAAATATATGTGAAATACCTGACAGAAATACCAATAGTACATAATGACCCAAATGTTTATATATTTCACTTGTTAGCCATAATCAAAGGTAGATATATGTGCTGATAAAACTGTAAAGTAGCAAATGCCAGTTGTGATAAAAGGCAGACGTAGACTGTGCAATGATTCATAGAAAATGTGTGAAAATTATATAAAATATGTCATATTTTATCACAGAAACCTATTAGAGTAGAATTCTCATGATTCATGCAGAAATTGTTACCATATTTACTACATTTAGTGCCCTGATTTACTTTAGTTATTACACTAAATGCCCTGATTTACTTTAGTTATTACACTAAATGCCCCAATTTATTTTTGTTATTACACTAAATGCCCTGTTGATGTTACATTAAATGCCCTGAATTACTTTAAAGCGTCGGACTAGTGATCTAAGGATTGCTGACCCCATGGGTTCAAATCCCATCTACATTAAGCTGTTGTTTCCTTTGAGCAAGAAACTCATTGCTTTAAGTACTGGTCGATTCAAGGAACGATTTCGAGAGTGTTTCAATAAGCTTATGGCTTTCACAGCAATCGAGCTAAAATATATTTGTATAAACAGTTAAACTTACCTACATATATTTCTTAGTGTGTTAATTGCCTATGTGTAAATTAGAGACTATTTTGACCAAATTTGTGTAAAACTGTAAATTGATTTGCCCAACTTTGAATTTGGAATAATCCATCTAAATGTTTTAGATATGACCCAGCTTACTTATAGAGTATTGGTGGTTCTACATGTACTCAGGTGCCTGTTTGTGCATGAAAAAATGAACAGAGGGGCACTTGAGGTCTTCCTCCACCAGTAAAGCTGGGAAGTTGCCGTATGACGCTACATGTATACTGTATTGGTGCGACATAAAACCATACCAAAAAGAAAATATTTAAAAAAAAAATATATTCAAGAGATTTTAATATCAATATATACAAAAATAGCATTGTCACTTGGGTATTGAGCCTGGTCAGATAACAATGATTTGGGTTCGGATTGTACGGATCCCCTGTTTGGTGAGGGTTGGCCTAGCTCTATACTGATGACAAAGGCAAATTAGCTATTATCACTGTTGGTTATGTACTATATGTTAATAAATAAGTGATTTGATATTGGCCCTGTTATTTGTCCGAGGGCAGTCGTATTGGCCCAAGGCCGAAGGCCAAGGGCCAATACAACTGACTCGAGGACAAATAACATGGCCAATATCAAATCACTTATTTATTGACAATTTTATTAACTAACTACATGTACTTATAATATTTCACATTTAATCCTCAGATATTTCTTCTTTTATTGATTCTAACATATTTTTATTATAACAAAGAACAACAGTTACTGTAAAAATAACTACTTTTTAAAACAAAATGGCTGCCATTTCCCAGTTTCTTGCAGAAATCAATAACATTTTTGGCCCTACTTTAAAAGACAATCAATTACTTCAAATGCGAGCTTTATATCTATATCACTTTTCGGCACGGGGCCGAAAAAGTGATGAAATAGATATTGGCACTGTTTTAAGGCAGGTCATCGTGTTATTGAACGTGGCAGGTGCTTTTATAGGACTAATAAGGTATAGTTATTTCGTAAAGTGGGTTAAGGATTTAGAAACACAGTAACCAATCTTTTAACTCAAATGTTTGCCGTCTCCAGATGATAAACTTTAATCTAGTTAATAAACCGAAAAAAAATAAAATCTTTTTGTGTCCCCCATAAGTATGAACAAATGTGTTGTCAAGTTTATGTTTATTAAGGAAATTACCATAGCAACAGCCAGTTATGTCAAATATGCTATTATTGGAAACAATTTAATTGCAGCTCGGTTCAAAAGATGAAATAAAAAAAAGAAGCCGTAAAAATTTAATTTTCATGAAACTTTAAGAGATGGGAAGGTAAATGAGGTCAAAGTTCAGACAGCGTGGGTGTTGATAGTTGAGTTGCAAAGCATGTAAATAAATAAAGAGCTAATAAACAGTGATGTGTTAACACAGGTGAAAATCTAGCCGTCTGCCTGATGGTTTTAAATTAATGTTGAATAACTTGTCAGAGTTGTTTTATAGATATTAATTTGTTTTATTTAGGTTTTTATTTTCTCTGTCATTTTTGATATAATAGTAAAAAAAACAAAAAACAAACAGTTTGTGATGCACAGATTGACTTTGAAATGTAAGTCCCGACCTAATTTTGTGACTTAAAATATCTGCCAGTTACAGAAATTGTACAAGGGCTACTGAATGATTGTACAATGTTTACTGTAAATGGAATGATCCTCACAAATAGAAATTTTCATTCCCCCCCCTCCCCCACCCCCTATGGACATGGTGTTATGATTAAAATTCCCAATTTGTTCCCCTAATTTTTGCCATTTGACCTATTTTCATGACTTAATTTTTTTTTTCAAATTTGTGCAGACCCTGCCACCCTGGACTGCTGTTTCCAACAATTCAATTTCTATTTTTTCCCCCAACATGATGTTAAGATTTAAATTGTTGAAACTTATTTTCGCATTTGACCGATTTTTACAGCTTAGAAATTCACCAACTCAGAGCCGACCCTGCCACCCAGTGGTCGGCTGTTCCCAAAAATCCAAAATAATGTGAAAATTCTGCAATTGTCTCATCACAATGGTTTGCTCTTGTAATGCTGCAATTGTAGAAATATATATTGGCAGATTAACAAGGAATTTGAACAATTCTGCAGCAGGTGTTTTAATCTTGATCCATCTATAGAAAAAAAGAGAACAACAGGATAAGCTAAAGCAGTTTGATATTTTGCTCTGATAAAATAATCCCATCAAGTTCAACATTTTTTTTTATTTTCACTGAGACCAAGCTAAAGAGATAAAAATAAGGAAATTGAAACTTGCAGTTAGAAGAATGCCAGTGTATTATGTCAGATTACCTTTACCATATTTATCTTAATATAAGCCCCTGGCTAAACATAAAACTGGATGCTGACCGAGATTCTTTCATGTGATCCAGTGTGAGTGTTGCTTCTAGAATAAGACATTAGGGCCACAGAATTAAATGTTGAAGGACCCTTTGAGGGACACATTTGCTCATTATTATTAGCGTGATGCTAATAATAATGAGCACACACAACTCAAAGAAGATGGGGATGTTTCAGAAATTTTTTGATTACAGTAAAAACCCTCAATTAAGACCACCATTGAGACTGGACATACTTGCATACTAAATGACCATAGTCTATTTAAGTCATTTTGTATTAAACATTATTAAATTTTTTAATTACAAAATTTTAATCCACTTTTTTTTCATCTGCTTGCTGTAATTTCGTATATTTAGTTTTAGGCTTTCATTTAGATTTTTCTGATTTTAATTTGAGACAGTGAGTCTTTTTTTGGTTCTTAGAATCACATACAACGAAGAGTGTTTCTAAGTTTTGAATGGTAGCAGCCCAAAATTTTGGGCAAAGGAGGCCAAAAAGGTTTCTTTCAGTGACAAAAACATTATCACTCCTGTGAATTTCAGGTCTTGCACAACATGTAACACATGATTCTTGCAGACTTGGTAAAATGAAGTTAACATTACTAAATGGGGATGGTGGCACCTGAGGTCTTCCTCCACTAGTAAAGCTGAAAGTCGCCAAATGACCTATAATGTGTCGGTGTGAAGTAAAACCCAATCAAACAAACAAACTAAATTGGGGGGAAAGCTTATACATTTAAAGGGAGGGTGCTAATATTGAGATAATTACGGTATATACCAGACTAACATTGTGTTATCTAAATACATAGAGAGAAGAGTGTTTAATAAGTGATTTATTGCATACTTGATTGACAGTGATTAATGGTTTGAAATGTTGCTGTATCAGAATATAAAAATCTGGGTGAGAATTTATTGAAATCTAACAGATAACAATCTCTGGATCTCATGAAGATATCTTCACTGCAGTCTGCTGATATACTGGCTTCTCCATAAAATATATGCCTTGTTGATAACAAACATGTTTGTTTGTGAAGGTATTCAAGATAAGTCTCAGATTTGACTTACATTTTTATGCCAAAATTTAATATGTTTTAAAACTGCTAAATCCAAAGCAGGGTCGGCAAAATCTGATTTTGACTTACTTGTCCATTTTTATCTGAAGCATTTTTTTACTTGTCCGTATGATATTTACATAGTTAATTCTTGAAAATTTCCACTTGTCTGTAAAGAATTTTTCTTTAAGTAACATGAACAGTGCTGTCCCATACTCTTCCTATAATTGAAGTTGAAATGCTCTGCCTCTAGTAAGTTGCAGAACATTTCTAAATGAAACCATGAGTTCAATGAAAGAAAAAATCATTTCAGAAGAAAAAAAAGCAGCAAAACACTGATACATGTAAACAATTTGAGAAAATGGCTTTTACAGGTGTCTTAGTTTAGAATGTAGGAAAATGAATATGTCTAAGTGTAGAAACCTGCAGAAATACAGTAACTGTTGAGTGAATGCTCCAAAATGAACCTTACCTTGAATGTATGAATAAAACAAGTCAGTGTGAGACATTTTCGAAGAGGTGTCCATGGCTGAGCGGTCAACTTCAAACCACTTCCCCTTCACCGCTGTGGGTTCGAATTCCAACAGGGACTTTGGATTCGGTAATGCAAGGAAGCTATCCAGCCTGCTTATGGAACGACATTGGTTCTACTCAGGGGCCAATTTGTTCCTGAAATAATTACCATATGAGCCGCGTCACGACAAAACCAACATAATGGGTTTGCGACCAGCATGGATCCAGACCAGCCTGCGCATCCGCGCAGTCTGATCAGGATCCATGCTGTTCGCTATCAGTTTCTATACTTGTAATAGGGTTGGTTAGCGAACAGCATGGATCCTGATCAGACTGCGCGGATGCGCAGGCTGGTCTAGATCCATGCTGGTCGTAAACACATTATGTTGGTTTTGTCGTGACGCGGCTCATATGACCTTTACTGTGTTGGTGTGGCATATAAAAATAATAAAAATGTCATTCATAATTATCAGAATTATGAAAAGCTGTGTTGATCATGATTTGCATAAGTCATGATGATCATGATTTGTATCAGTCATAATGACCATGATTTGCATAAGTCACGATGACCATGATTTACATACGTCATGATGATCATGATTTGCATAAGTTATGCTGACCATGATTTACATAAGTCATGATGACCATGATTTACATCAGTCATGATGACCATGATTTGCATAAGTTATGCTGACCATGATTTACATACGTCATGATGATCATGATTTGCATAAGTTATGCTGACCATGATTTACATAAGTCACGATGACCATGATTTACATACGTCATGATGATCATGATTTGCATAAGTTATGCTGACCATGATTTACATAAGTCATGATGACCATGATTTACATCAGTCATGATGACCATGATTTGCATAAGTTATGCTGACCATGATTTACATACGTCATGATGATCATGATTTGCATAAGTTATGCTGACCATGATTTACATAAGTCATGATGACCATGATTTACGTCAGTCATGATGGCCATGATTTGCATAAGTTATGCTGACCATGATTTACATACGTCATGATGATCATGATTTGCATAAGTTATGCTGACCATGATTTACATAAGTCATGATGACCATGATTTACATCAGTCATGATAACCATGATTTGCATAAGTTATGCTGACCATGATTTACATAAGTCATGATGACCATGATTTACATACGTCATGATGATCATGATTTGCATCAGTCATTATGGCCACGATTTGCATCAGTCATGATGACCATGATTTGCATAAGTCATGCTGACCATGATTTACATACGTCATGATGACCATGATTTACATAAGTCATGATGGCCATGATTTGCATAAGTTATGCTGACCATGATTTACATACGTCATGATGACCATGATTTACATAAGTCATGATGACCATGATTTGCATAAGTTATGCTGACCATGATTTACATAAGTTATGATGACCATGATTTACATAAGTTATGATGACCATGATTTTCATAAGTTATGCTGACCATGATTTACATAAGTCATGATGACCATGATTTACATAAGTTATGCTGACCATGATTTACATAAATAATGCTGACCATGATTTACATAAATAATGCTGACCATGATTTACATAAGTCATGATGACCATGATTTACATAAGTCACGATGACCATGATTTACATAAGTCATGATGACCATGATTTACATAAGTCATGATGACCATGATTTACATAAGTCATGATGACCATGATTTACATAAGTCATGATGACCATGATTTACATAAGTCATGATGACCATGATTTACATTAGTCATGATGACCATGATTTACATAAGTCATGATGACCATGATTTACATAAGTCATGATGACCATAATTTATAAAAGTCACAATGACCATGATTTACATTAGTCCTGATGACCATGATTGGCACGAGTCACAATGACCATGATTTTTATTAGTCATAATGACCATGTGGAATGAGGTACCTGGTTTAATGTTTGTAATTTCAACTTGTGTAATGCCTAGGTATTGAACCCTTGTAATCACAATTTAATTATTTTTATTTCAGATAAACAAGAACTGCTGGACTCTATCCAGGCAGATTTAAAGAAAGGTCTCAAACTTGGTAACAAGAATGTGCAGAAACTATCATACTCACAGCTTCAAGTAAGTCTTTCTTTAAATTTAATAAATTTCTGTTACATATGAAAGTGAATTTTGTAGTTTGCCTCAAGTTTAAGTGATGCCCCAAACCCTAAGTCTGATGCACTTGTACTTAGAAACTGGAAACCATGAGTAAATAGAAACTGAATCCATGAGTTATTGGTAACTGGAAATCTGTAAACCATTCTGTTATTACTAACAGAAATACAATGGTTAGTTGTTAATAGTAACTGGAATCCATGAGTGATTCATAACTAGAACCCATGAGTTATTAATGCCAAGAATCCATGAGTAATTGTTAACTTAAATAAATCCATGAGTTACAAGTCACTTGAATCTATGAATTATTATTGACTACAAATGTGGAATGAATGTGTTATTAGTAACAGGCTTACAGTACTTAAGTATAGTAGTAATAGAGATCCATGAGTTATAAGTAATCAGAATCCATGAGTTATAAGTAAAAAAAAATCCATGAGTTATTAGTACAATGTACAAGAATCCATGAGGTATGTATACAAGAGTCCATGAGTTATAAGTAATAGGAACCAATGAGTTATGAGTAACTGAATTCCTTGAGTTATTGGTAACTAGCAACCAACCAAACAGTAACCTTTTCAAATAATAAAAATAATATTGATAACGATTATATGTTAGTTGAGGACAGGATACTCATTCTGACAAACTATTTGCTGATGCTAATGTTTTAGCAAAACACACCTGCAATTATTATATAACTGTCTCATAATTTAACTATAAAAAATATACTAAAGGCAGACACATCTTGACACAAGCCAAAGTGACCTAAAACTTAAAGCCCCCCAAATAATGCAAGAAAATAATTGTTGAGGTGAAAATGAATGTGAAAAAGTCGTCAAAAAATTAGTATAAATCAGTGTCAGAGTTTTGTATATATAACTGTGACATATATATTTATTACTGACCTGCTTTTACTAATAACTTGTCTATGTTTTATGACCTCCCACGACAAGGAGAGAAATCGTACTAATTTATGAATTATTTACCATAATATAATTATGTCATTCTAACCCTGTTACTTACCCTACATTTCATTGATTAATAATGACCTTTAAAAGGATATCATTCAAATCTGTTGCTCACCCAACATTTCATTGATTAATGACCTTGACCTTTTAAAGGATCAGGCCTCTGTGGTATAGTGATCAATTTACTGAACTTACTCTTGAATCATTTGCCTCTAACTGCCGTGGATTCGATCCCCAACATGATGGTGGTGTGAAAGCTTCCAAAAGGTCGGTGTAATCAGGGTTCTCGGTGCCGCTTATTTTCCGACGGTGTCCTGGTACGCATGTTTATTACGGTTGGACACTGTTATATTCAGATACTTATTTGGTACCCGTAAATATATAATACACTGAGGGACAACTATGCAAGGTTGTTATTGAAAATTTTCTAAAATGGTGGGTTTTGACTAAAGAGGCAGTTATTTTTGGTTATATCACATTATTATAGTAAGAGTTGTTTCTGAGTTTTGAGATGGCCCAGTATGCATTGAAGAATGCCATTTTTGCCTACAGCCGCATCTTAACGACAACCCTGCTACGGTCACTCTACACACCTTTAATGATGCATGGGTGGCCAGTATAGTACCGTTTATAATATGACCTTATATACAAATCTCTATAAACCAATCTTTTGTGTTGATATAAAATATGTCGCAACTTTTTCTCTGTTTAAAAACAGACACATATTTTGAAGAAAAGTATTTATTCTTGAATGTTATTTGATCATAATTAAATGGAAAAAAAACTCAACTTATTTTGAATACTTGATTAAATCATAATTTTATAGTAGAATACTTTTCACCCCCTTCTTTCAATTTTGTTTTTCACAGTAAAGATGTAGATCTATGGTTATAAAAATAAATTAAATATGATTTTTTTTCTATACAATTTTGATAGATACGGTCATTTGATATTGTTAGGCCATGTTTTTCAATTATACCACTTTAAAGTAGTTAAATATTTCATTATTAATACTGTAACTTAAGAAGCTACTAGATAATTCTAGCGATACATGACATCAAAAAATCATTTAAATATAAACTGCAATAAAATTATAATTCCATCAGCTGAAGATGTCAAAAATCAGTAAAGGTTTATAGAAAACAAGTCAAAAATCAGTAAACATTTAATAAAAAGTCATTTATAGAAAACAAGTCAAAAATCAGTAAACATTTATAGAAAACAAGTCAAAAATCAGTAACATTTATAGAAAACAAGTCAAAAATCAGTAAACTTTTATAGAAAACAAGTCAAAAATCAGTAAACATTTATAGAAAACAAGTCAAAAATCCGTAAAAATTTATAGAAAACAAGTCAAAAATCAGTATAGGTTTATAGAAAACAAGTCAAAAATCAGTAAACATTTATAGAAAACAAGTCAAAAATCAGTATAGGTTTATAGAAAACAAGTCAAAAATCAGTAAAAATTTATAGAAAACAAGTCAAAAATCAGTAAAGGTTTATAGAAAACAAGTCAAAAATCAGTAAACATTTATAGAAAACAAGTCAAAAATCAGTAAACATTTATAGAAAACAAGTCAAAAATCAGTAAACATTTATCGAAAACAAGTCAAAAATCAGTAAACAAATCCTTTTTAAATCTAATGGAAACAAAGGTGATTTAAGTCTTTTAAATCTGATGGAAACAAAAGTGATTTAAGTCTTTTAAATCTGATGGAAACAAAAGTGATTTAAGTCTTTTAAATCTGATGGAAACAAAAGTGATTTAAGTCTTTTAAATCTGATGGTAACAAAAGTGATTTAAGTCTTTTAAATCTGATGGTAACAAAAGTGATTTAAGTCTTTTAAATCTGATGGTAACAAAAGTGATTTAAGTGTTTGCCATTAGTATAGAACTCGGCAAGTCGGCACCTTTGTAACAGTGGCTAAGTTCCGCCTTCATATCCCTTCGTTTCCATTTGCATTGGTTCAACAACTTGAGTATCCATACACATAACAATATAGTTCCATGTTATCTAACTAAAGTCGGAAGAAGAAAAAACTTTCAAAAATAAATATAAACTTAATCATTTTCTTGAATGCTGTTACATAGAAAAACGAAAAGAAATTCAATTTTGAAAATTTATAATTTATTATACCCCCAAAACGAAGTTTGGGGGGGGGGGGGGGTATATAGGAGTCACTCGGTGGTCGCGGTCCCTTGCATTTTCCTTGTCCAGAGCATAACTTGAAGACTAATGATTGGAATTCAATACAACTTCATACAATGATCAAACACATTGAGAGGAAGTGCGGTGCACAAGAACCATAACTCTATCTTGACTAATTACAGAGTTATTGCCCTTTGTTACTTTCTTTGTCCGGAGCATAACTTGAAAACTACTGGTTGGAATTTAAAACAACTTCATACAATAGTCAAGCACAATAAGGGGAAGTGCAGTACACAAGAACCATAACTCTATGTAAAGTAATTACAGAGTTATTGCCCTTTGTTACTTTTTCACAGCTCTCTTTTGTCCGGACCATAACTTGAAGACTAATGGTTGGAATTCAATATCATTTCATATAATGGTCAAGCACATTGAGAGGAAGTGCAGTGCATAAGAACCATACCTCCATCTTGACTAATTACAGAGTTATTGCCCTTTGTTACTTTTCTTTGTCCGGAGCATAACTTGAAATGTACTGGTTGGAATTCAAAACAACTTCATACAATGGTCAAGCACAATAAGAGGGAGTGCAGTGCACAAGAACCATAACTCTGTCCAGAGAAATTATAGAGTTATTGCCCTTTGTTACTTTATTAGCTAACCTTTTTTAGCTTTTTTTGGACCATGGAGGCTTGAATCTGCTTTCTGAAAATAACTTACTAGTAATGGCATCATATGAGGACTTGGAACTAAATCCAGAGGCGATTCAGATAATCAATGTCTGAAATTGTCACCTTAGTACAGTAATGGGTTAACTTCTATTAAATTATATAAGGAGTTAACCCATTACTGCTCTAATGTGACGAAATTAAAGGCAGACCCATCTTAATTAACTCAGATCCCACCATATATTAGAGGGCTTGACTCGTAACCTGTTAAATTTATGAAATGGTCTTGTCAAGCTCTCTGGTTTTCGGAACTGAACATTGTTAAATTTGGGGGTATCAACTTGACAAGAGGCTTGTCTGTGGCACTACATGTTGACAAAATCTTCTTACTTACAATACCTGCAACTGGTGTCTTCACAAACTAAAAGTTTATTTTAAATGGTGAAGAAGCTGTAGCACAGGGGAGGAACTGTTACACGAGAAATGGTTTTCTTATGATAACTTGTCTGGAGTTCTTGTGATATTTTTACTGTCACGGAGTTCGTCAGAAAACTTTTGTATATTCTACAAAAACACTCATCAAAAATGTGAATTTTAATCTTTAAAAAGTGAGTTTTAGGTGCTAAATTAAACTATAATGGTAAAGCTTGCCCTACGTGTGACTATAGAGCTATAGTGATTCTGTTGGGAAATCAGATTGTGCCTGATGTATAAATAGATGTTAGCGCTTCCTTATTTAGTATTTGAGCTCGAAATTCATTATAATGATAGTTTATGTCCCTTCACAGTGTCCTGTGTGATTAGTATATAATTCAACAGAAAAAGTCCGAAAAAAAAAGAGTTAAAATGTATGTTTAAGTTTTATTAAAATTTTGGCCTAGTTAAGTATATAAAATGTTTTGATGTTTAAAGATGTGATCTCAGCAGGATTTTAACACCTCATTACACACCTGTGATGAATGGTTTTACATGATTATATGGGAATAAAAATCATTCATATGTTAATAAACAGGCGCAAAACTTACAAACAAACACAAAATAAGAAAAAAACACAACATCCTTAAGTCATAAAATGCTAGAAAAAAACCTATAAAAAAATAAACATGATAAAAGATTTGAAAGTAAACTTTGAATAATAATTTGGTTTGCATCACAGAGCTATATTTAAATGGAGAGAAAACTATGACAGTATAATAGAGATGATTATAAGATACAAACATGTCTTAATGTTCATTGAATCTAAGAATTTGTTGGAGCTGGAAAGAGGGTAGGGCACAAAGCAGGGTAGGGCATGAAGAACAGGGTAGGGTACAAAGGGCTGGGCAAGATGCAGGGCAGGGCATGATGAACAGGGCATGGTACAAAGGAGGGCAAGATGCAGGACAGTGCATGAAGAACAGGGCAAGGTATAAAGAAGGGCAGGGCAAGATGCAGGGCAGGGTACAAAGCAGGACATTGCAAAAAGCAGGACATTCATAGGGGATCTTGGTCTTACAAGTTTGAGGCAGAATATGGGCTTCATTTCCCTCTACTTAAACATATTTGATGACCAAACACTTAAGACCTACCTTTTCAGTAGATTTGGAAGTCTTTGTAAAAATCATCATAATTCAACTTTATTTTATATTTAATCATTGAATGTGTAAAATGTAGGTTTTGGTTCGTAAAGTATTCAATTTTTGTTTGTTTATTTCAGAGATCTCAGGGAATTAGAATCAAGATGGAGTACAACGAAGAAAAAAGGTGGGTTGTTTCCCTTTATACTTAACATTATTTTGTAAACATCAAGACTTAATTTTCATTATGCTTACATTACAAAGGATGCTTCTTTAAATTAATGCTCCAATATCTATAATTTACTGCCACTGGTGTTTAATTATCAGAGAATTACTTCCCTTTATGCTTAAACATTAAAAATAACTTCCCTTTATTCATTACTTCCCTTAATACTGTCTATTTATTACATGCTTTTCGGTGGTTTATAGAAATATATCAGTGATATAAAACTGGTAATTTCACTGTTTGAAACAGTGAAATTACCACTTTGATTAAATTTCACTGTTTTGAATTTAAGCCCCTTACGTTGTTTCAGTGAAATACCAGCGTACACAGTACTGGGTACCAACTTAATGACGTGACGTCGTAAATGACGTCACATTATATTATTATTTGGCGCGCTTTTCATTCAGTATTAGGTATAATGACTTTTTAAAACGTTTCAATGCATATAATAAAAAGAAAATTTGTTTAGTTTAGTGTAAGATCGAAATATATTTCACCTTGTGAACACCAAAAGTTCATATTTCACTCGTGGCTGCGCCACTCGTGAAATATACCTTTTGCTGCTCACTCGGTGAAATATATTTCGATCTTACACTGAACTAAACAAATATCCTCTATATATAATTGAAAAATTCATGAAGCGTACCCAGCTACCTAAAAAATGAACGCCTTTGGCTCTTCTCAGGTGCCCATCATTGTCTGAAATAATGCATAGAGGGCCACCTAAAATCTTCCTCCATCAGAAAAGCTGGAAAGTCACCATAATTATGACCTTTACAGTTTTGGTGCGAGGTAAAACCCAAACTAAGGAAAGAAAAATAATGAACTGTACGATCACTTTGTTTTTATATTCCGAGGGCCATATTAAATCTGGAGAGAAACTTTAACAACAAAAACTGTCATTGCTATTTAATTTATAAGAAAACAGAATAAAATGTTTCTTAGCAAAATTAACAATTGCTGTATTTAGACTGGTTTTTTTTTTGTGTGCTTACTCAACCTGCTTTATTATTGGAAAATTTTGAAAATGAATTCTTTGAAAATACAAACATTTTAAACATTGCAGTTTAGCAATATCAGACCACTTAAATATTTACACATCTCAATTATTCATATTGCAATTTTATAATTGTTGTTTGTCAGCGAACTTACACATACTTATACATAACAAAACGTTTATGGTCCTGTTTCAGATTACTAATTTAAGGATCTTGGTGAAATATGATGACTGTCATATAAACGTTTATTCTGTGTATAAAAATGTTTTAAGAGATGTATCACATTATTTACTGGCCAATCAACACGTCAGCTTATAAAAAATGATGCCTTGTCAACTTATTGTTTATATCCTACACAAGATTTGTATTAAGTAGTTATAGGAGAGTTTTAGGTTGGAATGTGTTATGAGGATTCCAAATATTGTGTTGTGTGTGTTATTATAATGATGATAATAATTATGATACTGATGATGATGAATATAATGATGCTGCTGCTGCTAATGATGATGATGATGATGGGGAATATGGGGATAATAATGATGGTATTAATGATGATGATATTAATGATATTCAATAATAGATGATGACAATCCTCTGATTTTGGGGCCTTGGTGTGACTTAAAATCAACTTCATCAAAAAAACACTGTAACATTATCACCAAAATATCATCACCAACATTACCATCGATTACATCAATAACAACATCATCAAAATCATCATCACCAACAACAGCACTATCATCATCATCATTTCCAAAATCATCATCAACATAATTTCCCTGAATCATCATCATTATCATCAAAATTATCATCAACAATGTCACCAATATAAATGATAACAACATCATCAAATCAACATCATCATCACCAACAACATTATCATCATTATCTTTTTATTCATCATCTTTAACAACAACATCATCAATATCAAAATGATCATTTCATCATCTATTTGATGCTGCTGATAAAGTTTAAAATGGTTGACATGCAGGTACGACACAACAATACCTGTAATATAAGTGTTATGTTAACTTGAACTAGGTGATTGAGTGATGCTGTCAAGGTGTATGTCTGCATTGTTTTCATCCATCAATTTAAAAGAGAGGGGGGGGAAAAAACACACACAAAAAAACTTTAAATACTTTTATAGCAAATCATTTGTTTTGGTAAATGTCTTCTCTCCTCTATCTAACAATTAGTGACAACATTAAATAAATAGCATATTTCAAACAGTCGGTGTGAGAGGTAACTTAGTAAAGATGTCAGTATGATAATGATGTGAATTTGTTCTTGGTGACTTTTAAGAAAAGTGGAAAAGAAGGGGGGAAAAAAACCTCATACCTGAAATGTCAGGATTGTAAAAAAACTGAAGCTTAGTGCACAGTAAAGTAAATACTGTACAGTGCATTTTGGTTGTTAATTCGAAGTTTTTGATGGTGTATCAAGTACAATGAGACTACTAAGTACAAATGTCCCATTTCTCATCCCCTGTTAAGTATTTTGTTGTAGGGCTAAGGTAATTATTAGTCTATAGGGTATACCAATCTAATTTGACCTTACTTTTGATATTACCCACTTTTTTAGGCCCCATTGCTCATTTCAAAAAGTGTTTCTCAAAAAATTGAATTTTTTTTTAAGTTTCTGTTGTTATGGATATTTAAGGAACAAAAATTTGTGGCTTCTTTGCTCATGTTTAATGAAAGGAATTATCATTCATGTTGCTTTTATTTACTTCTCTATTATGGTTTTTGTTTGGTTTGGTTTTTACGGCACACCAACACAGTATAGGTCATATGGCACAGAACAGGAAAGTTGATTTTGGTTAACCTTGGGTGTTACAACACCAGGGGTCAAAACCACCTCACCTGCTAGAGGTAAGAGATGCATAGAATCCAGTTATTTGAACCCATTTAGTAGCATCTTAAGATCACGCAGAGATAGAAGGTGGCTGCAATTCTTTTGCCTCAACCAGTTAAGGTAATCCCTCAGCCACAAAGGGCCTCTATAATGATTATTGATGGGTAATATTCTGCTAATGAAACAGAAGAGCTGTGTCATCATATCCCAAAATGCTGGAAAAATAGTATAATCATAATGCTAGGTTGATTGACCTTCAGTAAGGCCTGCACAAGCTCACAATAAAACCGCAACAAAATACTTGTAAAAAATATTAATAAATGTAAACATAGTAAATAATCTTTTTGAGTGGCAATGGTCCTGAGTGGTGAACCTGCCAGACTACTGGTAGTAAGTAGCATGGGTTTGATCCCCGTCATGGGCAATTAAGTCGTTGTTCCTTTGAGCAAGAAACTTCAAAGTCTACGCTTACTGCTGTATCTTACACTGAATCAAACCTTTATAAACTTCTATTTTTATACTGTAGTATATTGGAAATAAATCAGTGATACATGAAAACAGATATACTGTGGTATATTGGTTATTAATTCATGATATACTGTGGTATATTGGAAATAAATCCATTATATACTGTGGTATATTGGAAATAAATCCATTATATACTGTGGTATATTGGAAATAAATCCATTATATACTGTGGTACATTGGAAATAAATCCATTATATACTGTGGTATATTGGAAATAAATCAATTATATACTGTGGTATATTGGAAATTGTATCATAGTTTGGAGACCTTTCTGTTGAAAATGTGTCAGGGTTAAATCGTATACATAAACATGCACAGTGCGTTAACTGGAGTGCGGGTATTAGTTACCCGCACTCCAGAGCATGCCCATTGATTGGCTCATTTTTGCTGGGGTTTACATATTGTGACGGCAGTGAAAGTGAAATCGACAGAAATGTCATATTTAGATGCTCGTTCATTGGTTCATTTTTGCCGGGGTTTCATATTGTAACAACAGGGAACGTGTTTTTATGTTTGACTATGATACAAAAGAGAAAGAACACCAAACACTCGGTAATCTGATTAATACTCGGGGGCTACGCCCCCTCGTACAAATCAGATAACCTCGTGTTTCGGTGCTCTTTCTATTACTAAATCAATTATATACTGTAGTATATTGGAAATAAATCAATGATATACTGTGGTATATTGGTAATTAATTCATGATATACTGTGGTATATTGGAAATAAATCAATGATATACTGTGGTATATTGGAAATAAATCAATGATATACTGTGGTATATTGGTAATTAATTCATGATATACTGTGGTATATTGGAAATAAATCAATGATGTACTGTGGTATATTGGAAATAAATCAATGATATACTGTGGTATATTGGAAATAAATCAATGATATACTGTGGTATATTGGTAATTAATTCATGATATACTGTGGTATATTGGAAATAAATCAATGTATACTGTGGTATATTGGAAATAAATCCATTATATACTGTGGTATATTGGAAATAAATCAATGATATACTGTGGTATATTGGAAATAAATCAATGATATACTGTGGTATATTGGAAATAAATCAATGATATACTGTGGTATATTGGAAATAAATCAATGATATACTGTGGTATATTGGAAATAAATCAATGATATACTGTGGTATATTGGTAATTAATTCATGATATACTGTGGTATATTGGAAATAAATCAATGTATACTGTGGTATATTGGAAATAAATCAATGATATACTGTGGTATATTGGTAATTAATCCATTATATACTGTGGTATATTGGAAATAAATCAATGATATACTGTGGTATATTGGAAATAAATCCATTATATACTGTGGTATATTGGAAATAAATCCATTATATACTGTGGTATATTTGGAAATAAATCCATTATATACTGTGGTATATTGGAAATAAATCCATTATATACTGTGGTATATTTGAAATAAATCAATGATATACTGTAGTATATTGGAAATAAATCAATGATATACTGTGGTATATTGGAAATAAATCCATTATATACTGTGGTATATTGGAAATAAATCAATGTATACTGTGGTATATTGGAAATAAATCAATGATATACTGTGGTATATTGGTAATTAATTCATGATATACTGTGGTATATTGGAAATAAATCAATGTATACTGTGGTATATTGGAAATAAATCAATGATATACTGTGGTATATTTGTAATTAATTCATGATATACTGTGGTATATTGGAAATAAATCAATGTATACTGTGGTATATTGGAAATAAATCAATGATGTACTGTGGTATATTGGAAATAAATCAATGTATACTGTGGTATATTGGAAATAAATCAATGATATACTGTGGTATATTGGAAATAAATCAATGATATACTGTGGTATATTGGTAATTAATTCATGATATACTGTGGTATATTGGAAATAAATCAATGATATACTGTGGTATATTGTAAATAAATCAATGTATACTGTGGTATATTGGTAATTAATTCATGATATACTGTGGTATATTGGAAATAAATCAGTGATACATGAATACAGATATACTGTGGTATATTGGTAATTAATTCATGATATACTGTGGTATATTGGAAATAAATCAATGATGTACTGTGGTATATTGGAAATAAATCAATGTATACTGTGGTATATTGGAAATAAATCAATGATATATATATTGGAAATAAATCAGTGATATAATTATTGTAGTAATTATTGGAAATTAATCAATGATATACTGTGGTATATTGGAAATAAATCAAAGATACCTGAATACAGATTAACATGATAATAATGCATGATTCACCTGTACACACAGCCAACATTATCTATTTACAACAAGCAGACACTTGATTGTATCAGAATTTAGGTAAAAAAAACCCAACAACAAATGAGCTTGGATGTAGAATAAGTGAAGTACCATTGTCAATTGTGATTATGATGTAATTACTCTACCATACAGTATCATGATGAAATATCTATACCATACTGTAGGTCCTATCTATCAAGGTAAATTGCAGTCAATTGAGTAATAGCCTGTATATTTGTATACATGAGCCCAAAATGAAGTATATTTTGTTTCCCCTCCCCGCTACCTACCAATAAAAAAAATTGGAGCTTTCCAAAAAATTTCATTGCCAAACAAAAAAACATATTTTTTTAATTTCTTTTTACTAAACATGGAAGCATTTTGAAGTCTGTCAATGAGAATCATAATCTTTGTATACCAGCATTTAAAATTTAATATACAAACTGGGAAATATGTTGAATAAAACTTTGAAACATTGGTTTTAAACTTTAAAAATATGTTAAGCATTCACAATTTACTTATTTTTTGAAAGCCATTATAAATTTAGAGAAAGATAAAAAATATTTTGGATGAAAAAAAAAGAAAAAAAGTTCCTATCTACCTCACCTACCCTACCCTACCTACTGTAACTGGAATAGGGCTTTGAAGGAGAAAAATTAGGCCGTTAACTGAAAAGGGTCAGTTGCTTGCATATAAGAATTCAAAGTCCCTGGTGAGATTCGAACCTACAGCAGGTGGGGGCAAGTGGTTTGAAGTCAGCAACCTTAACCACTCAGCCTTGGACCCCCCCCCCCCCCCAATAAAAACAATACAAACAAACAAATGTAAAGTGTAAATGCCTGATTATTTTAACCCATTACTTCATATACACGCCTTTTAACGCCTTTTTCACCCCCCCCCCCCCCTTTATGTTGTCTCAAATGATGAAAAAATGCCTTATTTAGGCCCCAAACACTTGTTTTTGTTTGAGAAATGTTGTTAAAAAAAGTGACCTCTTTTTCGGCGCGGTCCCCCAACCAAAAGATACATCAGGGGGTTGCCAGAAGGGGGATGTGCCCCCTTCTGTTTGGGGGGTTTGAAGGGGGGCGGAGTCCCCCTCATCGCCAAGAAAATTTTGGACTTGTGAGAGGCTGTAAATGACCCCAGATTGATCATAAGGTAACGTGTAACCAACGCTGAAAAGCATTTGACTCTATCTCAATCCATTGAGAAGTTGTAGCACTTTGAAATCAATTTTGATGGAAAAAATCAACGCAAAATAGTGATTTTTGGCAATTTTGAGATGTCCCCTCGTTGCCATGGTAACAGAAAATTTAAGCCTGAGCATGTTGTTGCAAGGGCAATGGTCCAGTCAACATTTGTGCCAAGTTTGATAAGTGTGGAAGCAGTTTTTATAGTATTATAGCAATTTGAACTTGTAACGGGAGACTTTTCAATGAAAACAGCCATTTTTCACAAAATGCTCATGAAGTAATGGGTTAATGAAAAAAATAAAAAAATCTACAAAACAACAATTTTTCTTCAAATTTATATGACAGGCCATGTTTAAACATGAAAAAACGCGATTTAGGGTAATTTCAATTATTTTCATCATTTTCTGTTAAACCCATTACTTCATATACACGCCTTTTAACGCCTTTTTCACTCCCCCCGCCCCCCCCCCCCCCCCCGCTTTATGTTGTCTCAAATGATGAAAAAATGCCTTATTTAGGCCCCAAACACTTGTTTTTGTTTGAGAAATGTTGTTAAAAAAAAGTGACCTCTTTTTCGGCGCGGCCCCCCAACCAAAAGATACATCAGGGGGTTGCCAGAAGCGGGATGTGCCCCCTTCTGTTTGGGGGGTTTGAAGGGGGGCGGAGTCCCCCTCATCGCCAAGAAAATTTTGGACTTGTGAGAGGCTGTAAATGACCCCAGATTGATCATAAGGTAACGTGTAACCAACGCTGAAAAGCATTTGACTCTATCTCAATCCATTGAGAAGTTGTAGCACTTTGAAATCAATTTTGATGGAAAAAATCAACGCAAAATAGTGATTTTTGGCAATTTTGAGATGTCCCCTCGTTGCCATGGTAACAGAAAATTTAAGCCTGAGCATGTTGTTGCAAGGGCAATGGTCCAGTCAACATTTGTGCCAAGTTTGATAAGTGTGGAAGCAGTTTTTATAGTATTATAGCAATTTGAACTTGTAACTGGAGACTTTTCAATGAAAACAGCCATTTTTCACAAAATGCTCATGAAGTAATGGGTTAATTATGTCTGTAAATATTCTTAAACTGTTGAATAAAAAAACGTCTATAAACAAAAACTCAAAAATAGAGCCCCATAACATTGCTTATAACATCATTCTTGTAATTTTACATATTTAACATTGTGAACAAAATACACCAAAATTTTCCCCCTTTTTGCTTTAAAACCACTCATTATAAATTTTCTGCTTTATGCAAAACAAGTTGCTTTAAATCTCATGCTAATTCTTTGAAATCGTTAAATTATAAATTTTCTTTCGTGCAAATCATTACAAATTTACTTTCATGCAAATCATATTCACCATTATATAATATGAAAGAAATTTTGAAGCATGGCCAAAAGTTGCTGGAAAATTATTCTTAATACAGCCGTAAGACATGACACAAAATTACATGGTTATTTTTTCTTATTTTTTGTATGTAGTTTATCATGATTTAATAGAGAAGGTAATCTTAAATGTTGAATACACTCTTATAATAAATTTAAATGAAATTTGAAGTGATCGTGGGAAGAAAGTGAAGTAATCATTTGTTTACAAGCCAACAGAATATTATGTTTGGTTGTCAATCATTTTATGTAGAGGCTAATTTTTGGATATCTTTGGGTCTTTACGTTGTTTGTTGGAATCCTTTAAGAGAAGTTGGGTTTGTTCTTGACAGAAAGTTATTCAGCTAGTCTATTCTATGATCAGTAATTCTGAGTATTTGTTCACATGCCACTGATATAATTTCCAAACAGGCTTACATAATACTTGTTCCTTAACTCGAATAAAAGCTTGAAAGAGTGTTAAGCCCCAACCCCCCCCCCTTTTGTACCTCTCCCTCCCGTCATGTCCCCTCCACTCCCCTCCCATGTGCTTGCCTCTTAAATAACAGCCATAAAAGTTTCTGATGTGCATGCAGTTCCCAGACCTCTTAAAGCTGGTAAGCACCATAATTATAGCTTAACACTCACCCATTTGTGACAGTAATTAAAAATGGGGACGTCAATATGATAATGGCCATCTATAACAGCAAAAGAAACTATTGCAAAATAACATGCCAATCAAATTCTTAACCCATTTCAACCAGTTTGTTTCTTTTCTTGTTTTATTTTATATTAATATATTGATATTAAGGGGTATATAAAACTTAAATTAAGGTTTAAATTATATTGATATTAAGGTTTATGTTGTTTATTTTATTATTTCAGGACAATACACATGCCGAGGCCGCTCATGTTTGAGCAGATACGTGACAAGGTGGAACAGATGTACTCTTCTTCTCTTAGTATCTTCTTTACTCAAGCCAATGGCGAGGTACGTATTTTATATTATATTACATTATGAAATATCTTTACTCAAGCCAATGGCGGGGAAGTGTCCTATTAAATATCACATACCCATGGAAACAGCAAGAAATATTTAATCAAGCCAGTGTCTCATACCTCTTACACCCCTGGTGTTAAGCTTAAGTCACCAGAATGACCAGATTTAAATTATAAGCTAAAAGCTGTGAAGTCCGTATATAACCTTAAAGCTGTGAAATATAACCTGCAAACTGCAATTTCTGGAAATAATTTTATTGTACTTATATGTCTTATAAAAAAAACCAAAAGTCTGTTGGTTTACTTACAAAAGTGCACTATAGCATGTCAGATACAGTAGTACAATGTTAATATGACAGATTAACTACTTATATTTGAGTGGTATTTATTTAAAATCAATGAGTGGATCATGTTAAAAGTACAATTTTCAATAATTGTTAACCATGGATATGTCCTTGAAAATTGAAAAAAAGTAGTTCTTGTTTGCCAAAAAAAAAGTAGTTCTTGAGGAGTAGTAATTGATCATCTGTAAGTGATAATTGACAGACAGTTGGCTAGCTTACTATACAACTAACATTCAACTATGATGATCATGGTTTGTCTTGTATTCTACTTGGGTGCCCTTCAAAATCACTCGCCCCTCTGGCCCTCATCACTGTGGGTTTGAATCCTGCCGCCAGGGACTTTGAATTTTTTTCATGTCAGGAAGCTATCCAAATGTTCTCCTGAACTTTTTTCCCAACCCAAGTATGCTAAAAATTTAAAACATTTATTAAAAGGGATTTTTTACAGTTTAAAATAAAACTAAGTAAACAAAAAACCCCTTTTCATAAAATTTTTCAAATCCTTAATCTGGAAATATATCATCTTAGCTAGAAAATAATATGTATTTCTGCAGTGCTGTGGTATTTTGTTAAAGTTACTCAGTTTTATCAATTTAGAGGGACATACTGGTGAAAGTTGTGGTCAGCAAATCATAAAAGTGCTTGTCACTGCATGTGGGTAATCTTATCTGGCAAGGGTTCGAATCTCGCTTCGGGCTTTTGATTGAGGAAGGTTTTCTAATAGTTTACTTTAAGTTGGGTTGGGTTGGTGATCCTAATAGGGGGTACTTGCAGGAAGGGTGGGGGGCAAGATTGATCATCTTTCATCAGTAAGGCTGGACAATTGTCCTATAATATGTCCAGTATGTAATTAAAACTGACAAAACCTCTCTATATAACTCTGTTACTTCATTATTTAATTTTCCCACCCATGCTTTGCCACCCTATTACTATTATAATATACTTATCTCAACTTCCCACCCTTACTTTTGCCACCCAAAATTTTTTTAAACAAATAAATATAAAATCCATACATAAAAATGATGGATGTATAAAACCCTTCCCATTGTCAGTAAGGTGTTTAAAACCAATGTAAACAAACATTCGGAAAAGAATTCCTTGGTCACCTCAATTACATAAACAGAAATGTAATCCAGTTGACAAAAAAAATTAGAAAAAAAAATCAGTAGACGTCTTAAAATAAATAAATTGTAGACTATGTCACTAGACTGTTGTAGCAACAAAATATGTAAAATTTACACGTACTTGTTGAAGCTTGAAAATATGTGGACGATGAAATTGAACAAAGAAATAATTATAGTCGGATGTTTAAGAATTGGGAAAACTTTAATAGAAAGAAAATAGATTTGTATGCTTTCTGATAAATATTGACATTAATGTTTACGCTTAAATTCCCGACCTTAGATTTTTAAAGCGGCATTTCCACCAAATTCATGGTAATTTTATGAAAATTAAAAAAAGTTATGTATAACAAAAAAAGGTATTATCTGATGTGGTTAATACTGTAGTGATTTAAGCAAGCCTAATTATGTGCAATAGAAATTACCTATAGCATTTTAAAATATACAAAGTGGAGGGTTGAGGGGGGTCATATTAGATTTGCCGGTGTCAGTCCATCACACTGTCTGTAAATTGACATTACAGTGTCCCCTTGTGGCTGAGGGGTAGCCTTTTAGGGTTTAGGCATCAGAATTGCAGCCACCAAGTAATGGTTTATCTCTGCGTGATCATAAGAAGCGACTTAGTTGGTTCGCATTACTTGTGTCTATGCATCTCTTGGCTTCTAAATTGTTTTGGTGCACTTTAAAACATAAAATAAAACAAAACCTAAAAAAAAATATGTGAAATGAGTGGTCATCAGTATCCATTTATCAACCCATTCCTAGTGTATTGAAGTTATAGTTTGATTTTGAGAAGTTTGTTTAGCCGTCCATAGCCGGGTGGTTAAGGTCTTTGACTTTGCCCTCACCGCTGTGGGTTCAAATCCCCACTTTGGATCCTTTCATGTGAGAAAGCTTTTCAGAATAGATTACAGAATGTTGCGGGTTCTATTCAGGTGCCTGTTCATGCTTGAAAAATGCATAAAAGGGCACCTGAGGTCTTCCTCCACCATTTAATCTTGAAAGTCGTCATATATTGACCTATAATGTATTCTGTGTTGATGCAAAGTAAACCGAACACCCCCCCCCCCCTCCCCCATAAATAAATAGATAAATAAATAAATAAGCAGTCACCTGCCTTATGAAGTCAGTTTGAATGCTCCCAAAATTGACCATTTTGTTCTGAATATGACCTGACTTAAGCAGCCCCCTCATTTAAGCAACCACTTTTTGTTAAACCCTTGACTGGCTGCTTAATGCAGGTGTTACTGTATGTAAAAAAATAAATAGATAAATAATAAATAAATAAATAAGAAATAAGGAAAAATTAAAATAAGAATTTTGTTTATACATTTGAAGGATTGCCTCTTTAATTTCAGGGTTAAAGATTGTATAATGATTAAATTGTAATAGTTCTATTTGACAGTGTGTTTGGTCCAGAAATTTTTTACGTATTGCCAAATAGTTCACTTAATACACTGAACTTTGTGTAGAATAAAAACCAGATAAAAGCCTTTTTTTTCCCAATTGACTTACAAAGTTGTTGAAACTTTCCCAAAATTATAATAATTTCCTGTACCTGTTAAACTTTTAAGCATAATATTGGCTGTTTATTTAAAAACATCGTTTATAATTTTGTCTAATCATTTGTAAAGAAATTAATGTTTAAATCTGTTTGTGGAAATTTCTCAATTTTCTTCTGCTTATTTAACCATGCATGATTATTCCCCCCCCCCCCCCCCCCCCTCGCCCCCTCTCATTTAAAAGGGCAAAGAATTCCGCCAAACAAGAAAAGCAGTCTATTCTGCATTAATATTTTACCAGCTGGAACTGAAAAAAAGATTAGCCTTTGTCACCACAGTACATATATATATAGAGCCAGGGCACTGCCAGCGAAAACATGCAGTCTGACCAGGCTCTATTTTGTTGGTAGCTTTAATTGTTGTAAAACAATATTCAAATTCTTCAACTTTTGATAGATTATTCAAACTTCAAAGCATGACAAATTCATTCCAAAATACCCAAAAAATGATCGACAATGATTTGTCTTGTAGTCTCAAGTTAGCAAAAAAAAAAAAATTATGTTTTATTGTGTGTGTGTGTGTGTGTGTTTTTTTCTCATCATTTTCACAATTGTTAAGTTTTAAGACATGCTAAGTTGATGCTAAAAATAGATGAAATTTTTGTTATAGTTGTTCCTACAGTGACACTATCACTGTTGCTTGGCGTGTAAACTATTTTGTATTGTACAAAACAAGATGTTTTTCAGGTAAAGTTGTGTTTGAATTTTTAGAAAGAAAAAGAGAGATATGTTAACTACTTTAAGACATTGTTGTTTGCTTCATAGCAAATATTTTACTGGTAACTGTTACTGTGTAAAATCTACAGATTTGAAATATTTTCTATGATATGTTATTTTCATATGACAAGCTTATGTTCACGTATCATGATTTTAAATTCAAGGTTTGAATTCCATGTAGTTCCCTGGATTATCAACTGGTTTATATTCCTGTATTAAAACTTAAAATTCAGGTTTATATTCAAATATGCCTCTGAATTAACTATCCAAGGTTTATATTCAAATAATATATAACTCAGGTTTATATTCAAACATTATAACCCAAAAATGACAGGCTTCTTTATTATTCAAACATCATAACTTTAAAAATAAGCGTTATATTATTCCAATACCAAAATTTTATATTGCTGGATATAACAGTTATTGTGTAACTTAAAAGTTTATATTTGACTATTCTTAGTTATAACTTTATAACACAGGTTTATATTACAAGTTCCAGGTTATAACACAGGTTTATATTACAACATAAATTTATATTCTAAGTTATAACTTTATAATGCAGGTTTATATTCCAAGGATATAAATCCTTGTTCCAAGTTAAAACTTCATAGCAGATTTATATTCAAAGATAATAAATTCATATTCTAGGTTATAGCTTATAACACAGGTTTATATTCGAAGTTCCAGGTTATAACACAGGTTTATATTCCAAGATAATGAATTTATATTTTAGCCTTAGGTTATTACTTGACATTTCTTGCTTATATCTTAATGTCACATATTTATTTTTCAGGTTTATATTCCAATAAAATGCCAGACAGACTTGGGCACTGCAAAAAACCTGGTGGACAAGGGAAAGATTAAAATGACCCGTCCCACGTTTATTTTTTGACCAAACCCCGAAAACATAAATGGACATCACTGCTTTCCCTTTAAAAGTTTAACATATTAATCTGAAACCTTTTTAAATCCCAAAGTAAGTTTTTTTTCTCGACTATTCGATAAAAAAGTAGGCTATTCAGTCACCCCAGCGTCCGCTCGGGGGGTCGGCGTAACCACTTAAAGTTTAAAAATTTTTTGTAATAGTTCCCAAAAATTTTCAAAAATCCATAGACATTTTGGCTTTTTAAAAATTTTTCACCCTTGTTCACCAAACATGAACCCCCAAACCCGGGAGACAGGAGGAGGTAAAATCTAAAAACATTTTTTCAGAATAATCCCCTTTTTTGACCCTTAAAAAATTTTCGTTAAAGTTTTTTTAATAGTTCAAATATTTTCAAAGTCCATTGACATATGGCTTTTGAAACTTTGCACACTTGTTCACCATCATGACCCCAACCTGTAAACAGTGAGGAGGTAACTCTATCAAGCATTTTGACAGAATTATGCCCCTTTTTTTTGACTTAGAATTTACGTTAAATTTTTTTTGTAATAGTTCAAATATTTTTCAAAGTCCATTGACATATGGCTTTTGAAACTTTGCACACTTGTTCACCATCATGACCCCAACTTGTAAACAGGAGGAGGTAACTCTATCAAGCATTTTGACAGAATTATGCCCCTTTTTCGACTTAGAATTTACGTTAAAGTTTTTGTAATAGTTCAAATATTTTCAAAGTCCATTGACATATGCTTTGAAACTTTGCACACTTGTTCACCATCATGACCCCAACCTGGAAACAGGAGAGAGGTAACTCTATCAAGCATTTTGACAGAATTTATGCCCCTTTTTGACTTAGAATTTACGTTTAAAGTTTTTGTAAAAGTTCAAATATTTTCAAAGTCCATTGACATATAGCTTTGAAAACTTTGCACACTTGTTCACCATCATGACCCAACCTGTAAACAGGAGGAGGTAACTCTATCAAGCATTTTGACAGAATTATGCCCCTTTTTCGACTTAGAATTTTACGTTAAAGTTTTTGTAATAGTTCAAATATTTTCAAAGTCCATTGACATATGGCTTTGAAACTTTGCACACTTGTTCACCATCATGACCCCAACCTGTAACAGGAGGAGGTAACTCTATCAAGCATTTTGTTTTACTATCAAGCACTAAGAATAGTTCGAGCGTTTGCATGTCCTACAGACAGCTCTTGTTATAAGTTTTTTTTTTAAACAGAGGGTTATAACTCTGTGTTTGCCTAGGCTCCTAGCTGAGTGGCGCGCCTAGGCTCATTTCTGTGTGGGTTTGCATATGCTCTGGCTGAAGTGGTTTGTGTAGGCTCCTGGCTGAGTGGTTTGTCTAGGCTCCTGGCTAAGTGGTTTGCCTAGGCTCCTGGCCTAAGTGGTTTTGCCTAGGCTCCCTGGCTTGAGTGGTTTGCCTTGGCTCCCTGGCTGTGTGGTTTGCCTAGGCTCCTGGCTGTGAGGTTTGTCTAATCTCATGGCTAAGTGGTTTGCCTAGGCTCCTGGCTGTGTGGTTTGCCTAGGCTCCTGGCTGTGAGTTTGTCTAATCCTTCATGGCTAAGTGGTTTGCCTAGGCTCCTGGCTAAGTGGTTTTGCCTAGGCTCCTGGCTGTGAGGTTTGTCTAATCTCATGGCTAAGTGGTTTGCCTAGGGTCCTGGCTAAGTGGTTTTGGGCCTTAGGCTCCTGACTGTGTGGTTTGCCTTGGCTCCTGACTGTGTGGTTTGCCTTGGCTCCTGGCTGTGAGGTTTGTCTAATCTCATGGCTAAGTGGCTTGTCTAGGCTCCTGGCTGTGTGGTTTGCCCTTGGCTCCTGGCTGAGTGGTTTGCCTAGGGTCCCTGGCTGTGAAGTTTGCCTAATCTCATTGGCTAAGTGTTTTGCCTTAGGCTCCTGGCTAAGTGGTTTGCCTAGGCTTCTGGCTAAGTGGTTTGCCTAGGCTCCTGGCTAAGTGGTTTGCCCTAGGCTCCTGGCTAAGTTGGTTTGCCTAGGCTCCTGACTGAGTGGTTTGCCTAGGCTCCTGGCTAAGTGGTTTGCCTAGGCTCCTGGCTAAGTGGTTTGCCTAGGCTCCTGGCTAAGTGGTTTGCCTAGCGCTCCTTTGGCTAAGTGGTTTGCCTAGGCCTCCTGGCTAGTGGTTTGGCCTAGGCTTCCTGACTGAGTGGTTTGCCTAGGCTTCCTGGCTAAGTGGTTTGCCTAGGTTCCTGGCTAAGTGGTTTTGCCTAGGCTTCCTGACTGAGTGGTTTGCCTAGGCTCCTGGCTAAGTGGTTTGCATTGGCTCATGGCCGAATGGTTTGCCTAGGCTGAAATTAAAAACAAGTAATTCGGTTATATATGCTATGACCAATAATATGTGGTGTAATCCAAGCAAACACTACTTTTGTGGGAGAAAAGCGAAGGTTTCATCAGAAGGTGCTGTATAATATAAACTGTAATAGACCAGTTTACGGCCCGTATGGGCTAATACCACGTCTTGAAGTAAATATATAAGTAATCATACACAAATTAAGTGCAATTTTATAAAGGGTGATTGCTGACCATTATTTCCAACACTGACTTTCAATCTGCAATGATATAAAAAAAATTACCATGACTTTGTAAATCATTAATTTTATGTAGATAAGGTTAAGATAATCCCAAGTTTATCTTTTTAGAATGTTTACGGTAATTTCAGGTTAAAATAATCCAAGTTCTGTTTTTAGAATGTTTACAGTAATTTCACTGACCAGATCTATTGTGGTGATATGTGGTCATGTTTGTATATTGTTCTTTTGTTATGGGTGATTAAACTGGTTTTGCAAGTTCAGTGATGGGTGATTGATTTTGGATTGTTCATGACCAGAAGATGACCCCTATTATTTTTGGGGTCTATATAAGGTCAAGGTCAAATTGACCTTGAAAGTCAAAATGGTTTCCAATCAATAACTCAACAACTCATGGGACTTTGACCTTCAAACTGCATAGGTGCCAGTAGATGACCCCTATTGATTTTGTGGTCAAGGGGTGAAAGGTCAAGGTCACATTGACCTTATAGGTAAAAATGGTTTGCGATCAATTACATTAACAACCCAAGGGCTATTGGCCCTCAAACTTTGTAGTTGCATTGGTCTTGGCAAGTAGATGACCCCTATTGACTTTGGGGTTAAAGACAGTTTCCTATAAATAACTTGACAACCCATGGACCTTCAAATTTCACATATGCATTGCTTCTGATCAGAAGATGACCTCTAAGGTTTTTTTGGGTCAAGGTGTCAAGAGGTCAAGATCATATTGACCTTAAAGGTAAAAACAGTGTCTGATCAATATCTCAACAACTCATGGGCCCTTTACCTTAAAACCAGCAAACATCACAGGTGCATTGGTCTTGGCCAGTAAAACCCTATTGATTTTTTGAACACTAGGTCAAAGTCAGTCGCAATAACCTGGCACCATGACTAATTGGCTGCCAATTATGTATTGCTTCACGGTGCACTACCATTTGTAATGATAAGTCATTTATTTGCATATTTTTTGCGAAGTTGTAACTGTAAAAGTTTGTTTGTACCCCTGGATAAGCTGGGAAAACCCATTTCAAAGTAAATCTATTCACTTATAACTGTATATTCTATTTATAGATTTCATGAGTCACTTTATTCTAAATATAGTATTTTCATTCTATTTATAGATTTCATGAGTTTACTTCATTCTAAATATAGTAATTTAATTCTATTTATAGAATCGTGAGTCACCTAGTCCACCTCCAGGATCATTACCAGAACATGAGAGGTCATATAACCATAGTCTTTCTTGTAGTTCTATCAACAGCGAAGGAGAATTCATTCCAGAAAAAGATGTAAGAGTTGATTTTCTTTGAAAAATTACGCAATATACTAACTACAGAATGCTTAGTGCAATTTCTGTTGTGAGGTACAAAAATATTGTAAATGAGGGGGGAGGGGGCATCTGTGGCCAGGTGGGATGGTTTGTTGTTTTGTTGTCTTCAAATCACCTGCCCCTAACTGCTGAGGGTTTTAAAACCTAAGCAAAAGACTTTGAATTCTTTCATGTGAGGACCTGGAAGCTAATCACTAGCTTATGAAATGTTTGGTGGTTCTACTCACGATTCTTGTGTGTGCCTGAAATTACCCATGAAATGGTAACCTGAGGTCGTCGTCCTTCACCAATAGAGCTGGAAATCGTTATATGACCCATACTGTGTTGGTGTGGCGTGAATCCCGACCAAAACATAGTATATTATCATAATAACATGAAGGTAGGTATATCATTATTTGGTTGTCCTTAGATTCAGGTAATAAAGCCAGTGTTTTCTTTAAAAATTTACGAAAGCTGTCCGGTTAGCTCAATAGGTAGAGGGTTGGACTGTCATCTTTTTAGCTCACCTGTCACAAAGTGACAGGGTGAGCTTTTGTGATCGCTTTTCGTCCGGCGTCCGGCCGTCGTCCGTCCGTCCGGCGTCCGTCCGTAAACTTTTACTTTAAATGACATCTCCTCATAAACCACTAAGCCAATTTCATCCAAACTTCACAGGAATGTTCCTTTGGTGGTCACCTTTAAAAAGTGTTCAAAGAATTTAATTCCATGCAGAACTCTGGTTGCCATGGCAACCGAAAGAAGAAACTTCAAACATCTTCTTTTAAAAATCCATAAGAGCTAGAGCTTAGATATTTGGCATGAAACATCTTCTAGTATGTGTCTACCAAGTTTGTTCAAATAAAAGCCCTGGGGTCAAAATTGGCCCCGCCCCGGGGGGTTATTGATTTTCCCTATATGCATATAGTAAAAACTTAAAAAATCTTCTTTTAAAGAACCCAAAGAGCTAGAGCTAAGATATTTAGCATGAAACATGTTCTAATGGGTGTCTACCAAGTTTGTTCAAATAAAAGCCCTTGGGTCAAAACTGGCCCCGCCCCGGGGGGTCATTGATTTTCCCTATAATTTATGCATATAGTAAAAACTTAAAAAATCTTCTTGTAAAGAACTCAAAGAGCTATGGCTAAGATATTTAGCATGAAACATGTTCTAATAAGTGTCTACCAAGTTTGTTCAAATAAAAGCCCTGGGGTCAAAATTGGCCCCGCCCCGGGGGTCATTGATTTTCCCTATATGCATATAGTAAAAACTTAAAAAATCTTCTTGTAAAGAACTCAAAGAGCTATGGCTAAGATATTTAGCATGAAACATGTTCTAATAGGTGTCTACCAAGTTTGTTCAAATAAAAGCCCTGGGGTCAAAATTGGCACTGCCCCGGGGGTCATTGATTTTCCTTATGTGTGTATAGTAAAAACTTAAAAATCTTCTTTGAAAAAACCCAAATAGCTAGAGTTAAGATATTAAGCATGAAACATCTTTTAGTGAGTGTCTACAAAGTTTGTTCAAATAAAAGACCTGGGGTCAAAATTGGCCCCGCCCCAGGGGTCATTGATTTTCTTTATATGTGTATAGCAAAAACTTAAAAAAAATCTTCTTTTAAAAAGCCCAATGAGCTAGAGCTTAGATGTTTAGCATGAAACATCTTCTTATGGGTGTCTACCAAGTTTGTGCAAATAAAAAGCCTTGGGTTAAATTGGCCCTGCAACGTTGGGGGGGGGGGGGGTTGGGGGGGCCTATATACAGGTGAGCGACCTCAGGGCCATCATGGTCCTCTTGTTGTATTTTACCAACAGTTAAACACTTGAAACTTGTCAATATGACCTTATTTAAGTGTTGTTACGACCTCATAAAAAAAGAACCCATTGATTTGATTAAAGCATAAATATACACATAAACCTCTTGTGTTTTAGCGAATTTGAAACTAAAAAGATGTGGAAAGGGAATTCTGAAAGGGGATTTACAGTAACCGATATTTTACCGTCACTTAAGTAACTGATATCCAGATCTGAAATTTCTATTTAAAAGCCAGTACAATAGACTAGACTATGTAGAAACATGAAGTTATTTACTCAGTTACTACATTACACTGAGCTGTGTAAATACACTACCTTTAATGTCTGATATCTCAAATTCCTCAGTTGTGGGTGTAAGGTGAAAACTAGGTCACGCCATTTTACTGTTTATTCCATATATAATGGGTACAAAAGATTCCTTTTAAGGTATCAACTCCCATCAATTATGGTTTATTTGTTTGTTCCAAACGCCGAATAATCAACAGCCAGCCCGCATAGCTCAATCGGTTAGAGCGCGAGACTTGTAATCTCGACATTGTGGGTTCGATTCCCGGGCTGGCCAACTAAAATTACTAATCAGTCTTTCGGATGAGACTTTAAATCGAGGTCCCGTGTATGGGTGCTTAAACACTTGGCACACTAAAGAACCAGGAGAAGCTTCTGGAACTGGGGCATCTTTCTGTATCTGTAATTGCACTATCCTCCGAAAAATAAAATGACTAATACTCTTCTGGAGGGCTCGCCCATATGGGCAACCGGTGGCGAGTATAAATAAACGCAAATACACACACACACGAATAATCAATTTCAATGTTTGTTTGTTTGTTTTCTTTTATTTTAATTTGTTTGTTTGTTTTCTTTTATTTTAATATGTTCTTTTTCTGTAATATTCTTTTCTTCTCTGTGTCTATTTAAAGAGTAAAAAGCTTTTTGTCTTCCACACAAAATATATATTAATCATTATAAATAAACTACATGAAAATAAAGGAATTGTTAGTTACAGTCATGGCAGCTTTGCTGTTGCCGTCCGCAAACTTATACCTTGATCATAACTTTTTAAGTTCTTTGTAACAAAATATACATAAATAAATGAATAAAAAGCTGTTGAAAAAATAAAATGAAAATGATGTTATATTTAGGCTTACTGGGCCTTTAACTTTATAGGTTATGAAATCTCTAAACCAAACAATAATAAAGATAGCTTGAATCTTTAATGTGTGTAAAATTTTTAGATGTAAAATAAAGTACACGGCTCTATATAAGTTAACAACAGACTTGGAGGAGACAAGAATCTTATATTAAATAGTTAATTAGGGGGATATCAGAGTTACATAACATAGTGTCATTACATAAGATTATATAAATGCTGTCTTGTTTGTAAATGAAAAATGGTCTTCTGAAGTAATTTTAGCCATGTCATGTAAAAATTGATACAATGTTTTTTTGTTGTTTAATCCATTAATAAGTATTAAAAAAATTTAACCAATTAAAAAATATAAAAAATTTAAACCAATTAAAAAGTATAAAAGCCTAATTTATTTTGAATGAAGTATAGTCTTATTTTGTGTAAGTATATGGTATAATATTGGGTTCTTAGTTAGTTTTTTCTTTCTTCTTTTTTTGGTTTTTCATACAAATATAGGGCAAAACACGTCAGTTGAAAACCTGAGTACATATTATTTCTTCTTACAGCATTTTCTGTTTGTTATAATGACATTGCATTATTTTTTTTTTATTTTTTTTTTTTTTTGTTAATTTTTTTTTTTTTTTTTAAACTTGATATCAGTTAATATCAGATTGATGTTTTTTAAGACATAAATAAAAGGTATACAAATATATGCTAAAATAAAATACCCTCTTTTAATGTTAACTTCTACTAGAGTATTAAATTTTTCGCTGAATTATGGCTAGGAAACATTTTTTAAAATCATGGTTTAATTATTATTTAAAAAAAACAAATCCTAGGAAAATAACATTTTCTTCCCATTACGATGACTCGTAAATTAAAAACTTTGTTTGCGATTTAAAATTTTCATGAAATCTTAAAATCTTGAATTTTAATGTCTATACATGAGTAATACTTATTATGTAGATTTGAATGCAAATACTTTGTTTGTTTGTTTCCCTTAATCACACTGTTACTACATTTATATAAACAATATTGAGGGTTTACCGCAAAAGTCTTGTGGTCAACCCTGGATTATTATTTTTTATTATTATCTAATTCATTTATTATTATTATTATGTTTATCTATTTTACATTAATTCATACTGTGTAAAAATATTTTCACAGTAAATCAATTATAATATAATAAGTTGGAGGTACGTTTAACAAGAGCTGTCGGTAGGACAGCAACGCTCGACTATTCTTAGTGCTTGATAGTAAAAGAGCCTTGATAATGTAAAATTTTCTGAGTTAATAACAAAAGGACAAATGTTTTCTTTAAATCCATGTTACAGTTATAGGCCTTAAAGAGAGTCCTATTGTGCTCTCAAAGAAGAGTATAAAATTTCAACTTGTTTCAATAAAATATGAAAATATCTGAGGTGGTGTGCAAACTTAAATGTAAATTCTAAGTTGAATACTTGAGGTATTACAAAAACTTTAACATATGTGGTTACGCCGACACCAACGCCAATGCTCGGATGACTACAATAGCTCTACTTATTCTTATCGAATAGTCGAGCTAAAAAGGAAACAATACAGTTATTTAAACGGCCATTACATTACATAGAGATGTTGAAGACACGTGAATATTGTGGTTTTATTGTAGATCTATTATATTGTACATAGTATTAATTGTTCACTTTAAACTGCTGTACTAGACATTTTGTTACAACAAAAGTGGTTAACCAACCTTGGTTAAATGACTGAGTTCTCAACATTATAGGTTAAGGCACTATTTTTTTTTTTTTTTTTTTGCTTTTTCAACAACTCACAGTTTCTGGTTTAATTACTTCCTCCTAATTGTATCATTTTTCATTTTAATTAGACTATTATGAAACTTGGTACAATTTATAATTAGATGTACTATTAATACGGGGAAGTCAAAGTCCGGGCCCGCGAAGCGGGTCCGGGCTTTGGCTTGCCCGGCTATAGACTACACGTGTATATTTAAAAGAAAATCAAATAAAAAAATAATTAAAAAATATATAAAATTCTATACCT